GGGGGTTGGAACTAGATGATCTTTAAGGTCCCTTCCAACCCAAACTGTTCTATGATTCTATCAGTTTATTATACGATGTGATCTTTAAAGATGTGATCTCATTTTAAGGTGTGTAGTAACAAGCGTGCATAGCTGTAGTAATGGGTTATTTAGCTCAGGAGTATACTTCAGCTTTTAAAAAGGCTGAGAGTTTTACTTCAAGACCTCTCTTTTCACTGCTTACTTGTTGAGAGATCCTCAAATCCCTGAAAACCATCATCTCTCAAGATCAGTAGTAATGTTCACATGACGTACCTGGTTGTCTGTAGTCAGAATACGGTGTACTCAGTTTGTCATTGTATATTCTTTTATACTGGTTTGTGAAGACTGTTTTGTATAAAATAATTAAAATTCAGAACATTTTTTTATTGGCATTCTTAGTTTTGGTCTTTTCGAAGCCATGTCTGCCATTGAAATGATGGATCCCAAGATGGATGCTGGTATGATCGGAAACCAAGTTAATAGAAAGGTTCTTAACTTCGAGCAAGCTATTAAGGTTTGTGCGACTTTCCTGGTTTTGCCACACTGTCCTTAAGAATATGATACAGTTCTACCAAATTGCAGTTAATCGTGATTCAACATAATTAAAAGTCTTCTGTCTTTAGGAAAATTGCCTTTTTTATTTCAGATAAGTAAGAAATAGCTTGTAATATTTACCTTTTTTGTTACTGACGTTATTCCAGTGATGCCAGCTGTTCCAGTGAAACGTACTGTGAAATTGTTGGGTGTCGGTACCTCAAATAAATAAGTTTCAGAAGTGGTTTTGCAGGCTGCCCTGTGCTTCCCCAAGATGTGTCTTTGTATAAAGATGTATTGGTTAGTCCCTCTAAGCAGAATGGAAACCAGCTGCTTTACAGAAGCTGGGAATTAACGCTTTGGGACTATTGGTTCATTGGCTTTGAACAGATTCTGGCTAGTTCAAGAACATTGACAATAATGGTTAACTTCTGATGCGTGGTCAAGGTAAATTGGTGGAGGGAGGTTTAAAAACTGTTATTTTATAAGAAGTGATGCACTCGCAGAGGAAAAAGTGGGGTTTTTTTGTTTTTATATACCATAGACATTGTTTTGACTGGACTAAGAGAACTCTGCAAAATATTGGACGTCTGAGTCATGTAGAATGTATGCCCAATTGCATACATTGGGCAAATTGAATGAAAGGAGTAGGATTGCTGCCGCCTTGATCCTGACCTTGAAGGCAGTAAAACTCTACAAGTATCTGCAGTGTAAATGTCATGGTTTAACCACGTTTAGCAGTTAAGTACCACACATCTGCTCCCTCACCTCCCCCCCTTTTAGTGGAGGAGAAGAATTAGAGGAAAAGGCAAGGTACCTCGTGGATTAAGATAAGAACAATTTAATAACTGCATATTATAGTGATACTAATAATATTAACAATATTACGAATAACATGTAATGAAGATAAAACAAATGATACAGTTGGTCACTGCTCACCGACAGATACACAGCCAGGTCCTGAGTAGTGAGAGTCAGAGCCAGACCACAGCCCGAGAGTGATCGCAGCCGAGTCTGAACGAGCTTCACGAGCAACAGCACAACCGGGAAAACCGGTGGGCTCACTAACGAACGGGTGAGCTAAATGAACACGCTAGCTAACAAGCAAGCAATCTAGCAAAGGGGCAGACTATGGCCCCCCAGCCCACCCCAGCTGATAAACTGAGCATGTCATTCTATGGAATGAAATACCCCTTTGGTCAGTTTGGCTTAACTGTCTGTCCCCCCTGCTCCTGCTGCTTGTAGTGAGAAAGTTGGCAACATGGGTGCAAATTCAGAAGCTGAAAAAGTCCTTGAATTGGTACAGACACTCCTTAGCACCAACTAAAAAGCACAGATCCAAAACACAGCCTCATACTAGCTACTGTGAAGAAAATTAACTCTGCCCTGACTAAAACTAGCCCAGTAAAAAGCAGTGTTCAAAGAATGAGTCCTGCGTATTTTTCCTTGTTCAATCTTTATTATTATTGTGCATATTGTTTAGTGATTTGGGTGTTGACTGGGTTTAAACTTTTATTAGCTACTCATCAATCAGAAATTTTTAGCTTTCTCTTTGAGTAGCTTTGGTCAGTGTTCAACTCGATGGGAAAGCAGGTTTTGTTTTCAGAATTGGAAGGACATTATGAAGCTGATCAGTGAAGCTTGTGGTATACAAATACTCTGAAGTCTTAACCAAACTGTAATGTCGTTTTTTGGCTGTACAAATAATACGTTGTATTCCGCCTATAGGCATCCATAGTCATGGGTTTTTTTTCTTTGTTTGTTTCCTAAGGATGGCACCATTAAAATAAAGGATCTCACTTCACCTGAGCTGGTAGGAATAATGGATACATGTTTCTGTTGTTTGGTAAGCATTTCTCTGCTCTTAATTTTAGATGTTTTTTGCTTTTAAAACATAATCTTTTAGTCCAGTCTTAAAAGCAAAAAACAGTAGAACTCAAGGAAGAAGATTCACCAAGCAGAAAATACATATTTGTATTTTAATTTCCATTTAGATATTTGCATTGGCTAGTATAAGAGACACAATTTTGATTTGGGGATTTTTTTTTATTGTAAGATATCATTATGGAAGAGATCTGGTATGATTTTTGAATAATGTAAAAAGGTGTTATAATTCATGGGTTTTAAATGTACAGTATCTAACTACCTTCTGTATATGGGTGTTTGACTGTGTTGGAAAATGAGTGTGCAGTAACCTACGGCACTCTTGCGCGTTACTGTACAGCCAGTATAGACTGAGCTTACAGGGACTTATTGAAGAAAGAAAATACCTAAATCCATGTAGAAAATAAAATAAGTGAATTCTCAGTTATTTGTTAATTGTCTTAATTTCCTCAGTAAATGATACAAAATATTTTCAGTTACTCTTTAATATTACATCAATAAAATTACTTTGTTTTTTAAAGCAACGTTTTACATTAGTCCAGAAAGACATGTAAAGGTCACCGTATATTTGATACGGTGTAACATAATTTGTCTGTCCTCGCCCTGCCACAAATACTGACCTCTTTTTGGAAAGGCACAGTGGTCGTATTAAAAATCTGATCCTACTGTTTTTTATGCTGTTTCAAGATAGAAATAATTACTTAAGTTACTGAAGCTTTCCCTGTAGCTTAAAGCAGCATACAAGTAGTAGAGAGAAGGGACTGTGAAAAGAAACTGCAAGTTGTAGAAGAGAACATGGAGAATATCACTGGGATGTTCCGTAGCCACTTGTGTTTTGCATTCAGTATTTATGTAGAGGAAGCTTCTAAATCCGGTGGTCTGTCAGCTTAATGCCATATCTTAAATCACAGAGATTAGATATGAACTTTGTGGAAGAGGTTTATCTAACACAAGAATTTGATAGCGTTATGGGGTTTAGAAACTTACTGTGTGCCCCAGCCACCGGATGGACAAGGTTTAAAGGCTGAGAGACCTTCTCTTGTCCTGTTTTGCTAGATGGAAGGTTGTCAGGATAGGACTTCCTTAATGACTCACTGCAGCACAGTAAGATAGGGAAAAAGAAAATAGAGATACAGAACCAAGAACTTGGCTCCCATGAGTAAAACATTTAATTTTCTTTTCCCTAGATAACATGGCTAGAGGGACATTCCTTGGCACAGACGGTATTCACTTGCCTTTATATTCATAATCCGGACTTCATAGAAGATCCTGCGATGAAGGCTTTTGCTCTAGGGATCCTAAAAATCTGTGATATTGCCAGAGAAAAGGTTAACAAAGCAGCTGTTTTTGAGGAGGTATGTGTTTCAGTATTTGCTTTGGTTAATATGTAACATTGTATGTAGGCTCCCTAACGCAAGTGAAACAGTGTATTAGAGAAACTTGTTCCTGTTTGTTTTGAGGATAATGCAGGAGCAGTAATCTATCCTCCTAGAAGTATTAGACTTGATCTTATTAAAATGCAGTTTTCTTCAATGAAGGTGTTGGGTGGTATTTTCTCTAGTTTTGCTTGAGTAATGGAGTCACTTAAGCATTTTACTCCAGAAGCAATGCAAGTCTTGTGGCTAACCATGTGAAAGCAGTTTTGTGTTTTTCTTCCTGTTTAATTTTTTATTTTTCTACTTTAGGTAACCATGGTTGTCTTTAGTCTGGAAAATCCATCTAGCAGTGGAATCAGAGTGCTCAGAGCAATTTTTGTTTCCTCTGAGCTAGGACAATTCACTTCTTACTGAATATATCTAAAATTGATTAAATAGTACTTTGCGTCCATGGTTCTTGGAACATTTTGATAGGGTGGCACTGCAGGAAAATATGAAGGCCATACTCCCATTAAGAATTTATGGAGAAAATATTTATCCCAAGCTGGATTTGAACAGGAAAGTCACCCAAACCATGGGTGTATTCAGTTGTGCAGAATCAAACGGGACTTTGATACTTGGCATAGATAAACAAAAGCACCCCAAAACAAACAAACAAAAGCTACCCCAACAAAATGCACCAAGAAGCACCCTCCCTCCCCCGCAAAATAAATCCAAAAAGAAAACCCCCAGAGCACAGCTTGAAAATATAAGTCCTGCAGTTTGTATTTCACTACATATTGCTTTTTTAATTTTTGTTTTTTAGGAAGATTTTCAGTCAATGACTTATGGATTTAAAATGGCCAACAGTGTGACAGATCTTAGAGTTACAGGTACAGTTCGTGCTGTCTGTGTATCTGGCCATCAGTCTTTTTCTCTTTTGAGCATCTTGGTTACTCTCAACCAAACCTAATGAATTGGTAGGAATCCCAGATGTTAAGTTTTTTAATTAGTCTTACAAAAATCGGTGGCTCGATAAAAAGAGAGATCAAATTATTTTTCCTTGAAGAGAAGGTTCAGCTTTGTATTTGTTAAAAGCCTGAGAAACAGGATGTGCTTTTGGATGTGCCAGCCAGGTGGCTGGGCATGAGCTCATTCAGGACTGGGACAGATACAGACCTCTGGAAGGTGCACTGCTTGAATTCTGCTTCTCTGTGATCTATTTCTTGTGATCTAAACCCTAGTTCTAAAGCTGTGAATGCATATGTTACTAGGTACCTGCATAAGTATGTAAGTCTTCTAATGACCATTTTTAATACATACTTGAACTTCCCATTGATTCATATTTAGAAAACTTGTGAACACTTCAGCTTTACATCAGTTGGTCTATACTCTGATATATCAGTAGCTGCAAGACATCCCCACCATCCCTCAAAAGAATATTTTTTTTGTTTAGTCTTTAGCTAATGGCTATGAAAAGCACTTCAAAACTTGATTTCCACTGAAAACCTTTTTCCTCTGTGTGGTGTACGTGTACCTAGGAACGCTTCTCAGGTTTTAAGTATACTCTGACTTTTCCAGGTATGCTGAAAGATGTAGAAGATGACATGCAAAGACGAGTGAAGGTATGTTTCTCATGTTTGCCTTGTCAATTTTACTTCAAGTGTACTTAACATATGTATTGGGGAGAAGTTGGGTTATGAAGGATGTGGCAGGTTTGTGTCGTGAAATGAAGGTTTTGAAGAACTGCCGCAATAGTTTGTGTAACATGCTGGTACTTTGCCTTCCAGGTAAAGATGCTGAAGTATTTAGACTTTTGTAAACTCTGTATTAGTTACTTCACTAGTAATAGGGGGAATCATGGTGTAGAAGACGAATAACACTGGGTCGGGACACAGAAAGTATGTATTTAAATTCTGACCTTTATGCAGGTATATTGTGTGATGTTAAAGAAGTCACTTAATCTTCCATTACCACAATTTACAATATAAAATGTTCATACGATTTCCTTGCCTGTTTGCAGAGTGGACCGAGATAGGTCTTATTGCTATAGGAGAGTCCTGGATCATTCAAGTACCTAGATTATATCTTAAGAGGTTTTGAACTTGATAACTGCTTTTAAAGTTATTTAACAGATGGATGTTCTTGACAGGGTAAAAGGATTTTTATCAGTAGCTTCCCTTTGCAATTTTTAATAAATTACTTGAAATTCCTTTACCTTTTAGAGCACTCGAAGTCGACAGGGAGAAGAGAGAGATCCTGAAGTTGAACTTGAAGTAATGAATTGTTTACTTTTTTTCTGGATTTTGTGGATTAGTACATCATTACTTTAATCAGTAGTTAACAGCTTGTGAGAAATATGTCGCTGGTGTTGCTAATGCTGTCCTATATGAACTGCTCTAAACATGGCCCTGAGCAAATCTCAGGCTAGCGGGTAGGCATTTATGCTTTGAAGGGGGTAGAGATTTGGATTGATCCCAGCAGCAGAATAGTGATGCTGCTGCAATTCTGCCATTTCTGCACCTACCTCTGAGAAACAAGCCATTAGCGAAGTAAGCGGTCTTGTCTGTCCTTGTACTTTCTTTCCTCAGTTTCTTCCCAGCAGCTTTTGTGGCTGCTGACAGCCTCACTGTCAAGGGAGAAAGTAGCAGAGAAGGTGGAAGCAGTGTAGCTCCTTCCAGAACAAATGGTAATTGATGTAGTTGGTGTAGTTGATTTAGAAGGATGTGGGTTTGCTTCCCCAGTAACGTTACTTTACTCAGAAGTTACTTTTAACGTAGATTTTCAGCAAAAAGGAGAGAAAGTCGGATTAATAGTAAGTGGTTGTTCACTGTAGCGGTTTAAGCTCAGCTGGCACCAGAAGACCATGGGGCTGCTTTTTCACTCCTCTCCCCAGTGGGATGGGAAGGAGAAAATATCAGGACAGGCTCATGGATCGAGGCAAGGACAGGGAGGGATCACTCACCAGTGATAGTCATGGGAAAAAGAGACTCGACTTGGGGAAGAAACATCAATTTCATTTGTTACCAATCCCCTCTGAGCAAGACGATGAGAGACAACACAAAACAAAACCACCTCCCCCCACCCCTCCCTTCTTTCTGGGCTCAGCTTGGCTTCCATTTTCTCTGCCTCCTCCCTGCCAGCAGTGCAGGATGACAGGCAGTGGCGGTTCCCAGTCAATCCATCACACGGTATCTCTGCCGCTCCTTCCCTCTCGGTAGGGGGACACTCCTCATGCTCTGCCCGCTCCAGTGTGGGGTCCCTCCC